TTGAGAGTTTGACTTAACATATATTTAACAAAAAGTCGTGCATATAAAATAATTTTTTCCATCTGCTTGACTAACCTGATTATGTACAGATGATAACGAATGTGTTTTGACAATCTGTTTCTCTTACGTGACACGCCATTTAACGGATTGTCGCAATAAGTTTCTTCCTTTTCGCTAGATTTTACCTCCCTTCGAAGACGATATTTTAGAATTTCAAGTTGTGAACACGTTTGTAAGCAAAACCCTAATACCAAGGTTTCCGTAGCGATATTTACAATCGTACCGAAAATCAAAGCTAACATTTCTTGAAGAGATGTGAGTAAAAATAAAAAAAGCGAAGTGTAAGTGTTGTAAGGCACCCACCCTCTATAAGGTAATTCACCTTGTAAAACAGCGAGTATTTCCCCTATCGTAGCACCAGTGGCAGAAAACAATGCCAAAAGTGTATAACTTATGGAACACGATCTGAGACAGAAGAAGAGAGAGTTTAAAATAAGAAACAAATAATAGACGACATAAAAATTGTAAAATTATACAATTTGGTATAAGTATAATCGAGCTGTGCTTAAATTTTTAAAAGCTTAAAAAAGATATACATATACAAATATTTTTTCGCTGATAAAAATCTGAAATAAAAATTTATCTAAGGATCTAAAATTATCTGATATTTTCACTTTTTACAAATGCAATTTGTTAAGAAAATCGGGCAATATATATTTTTATAGTACAATATCTTTTTTTATATCTTTTACTTGCATAAAATATTTAATTTATCTGCTAGTTTTACATTAAGATATAAAATTTTTTCGCACAGATGCAATCATTCGTACAAAAGGATATACCTGATTAAGGTGTCATATTTCGTCTGAATATTAATTTCCTCTTTGCTGTTAGGCTTGCATGGTTTTTCTTGTAGAATTTTAACTAGGTTAATAATCTCACTACGACGAGTTATTGCAGTAGTTGCTTTGCAAAATGCACCGACAGCCGAAAGGAACATTAAGGAAGTTGTAGCAAAATCATCCATGTTATTAACAACAAGAACAATATCCATTAATTGAGTCAGCATCGAAAAATGTAATAAATACATCGTGGAGAAAGTGAACGCGCCGTACAAGTATTTCGAACATTTCGATGTCCATTCGATCGGTCGCCATACACCACTTATGGTGAATAATAAAAAATTGAGAGATAGAGTCTGCATTTCTAAATTGCTCCAATCGGAAAAAATTCTATCGTATTTTCAAAAAAAGTCCTCTTAAGCAAAGTATATGTAAACAAGGTAATTAATTTACACAAGATTATTAGTTATATCTTAATGCTGATTTATGTATATATACGCATGATATAAAATTGCAAAATTCTCAAAGCTTAATCCCGTGTAAACAATTTGGTTAGTTCTTAATTAAATTACTTATAATTTAAATAGAATTTGTAATTTGTAATTTTGAAAAAAAAAATATATATGTACTATATAATAAGACAAGCATTATATATACAAAACGAACCTTTAATTATTATATACGGATCAGTATTTCAAGATTAAATGCCCTAACTTAAAATATAAATTAGGACCTCAAAAAGAAAGAATTTTTTTCTGGAGATATGCCCGTAAATATTTTGTTTAAGAAATAATGACATTTAAAGTTTTGCAGATAAGAATAATAAAGTTATAGTACAACTGCTAATACGAACTACTACTTTCCGTAATCGCCATGTATTGTACATGTCAATTAATATTATAAAAATGGTACATGGACGCTATATAATCACAAATCGCTAAATATTCATCATCAATAATTATTCATGAGTTTGATATTTGAATTAAAAATTTTATTATTCGAAACTAATCATTCTTTGTTTCACATCTCAATCCGAAACACAAACAGCTTTGAGAAATATTTATTAACTTATTTTTCACAAATATCTTTGCGCAGCACAATTTTATGAGAATCTTGTGTAAATTACTGCAGCTTTTACGATACACAGTTTTTTATGGTAAAAAGCGAATCGTATAATTTCAATTGTATGTCGAGTCTTCCGTAGTTTATACATAAATAATCAAGAACAAAGTACACGCGACAAAGGTTCGTGAGATACTTCATACTATAGATGATGTGCATTTGCATCCCCATATTATTCAAACTTGAATGACAGTAATTAATAGTAGTACGATAGCGAGCGATGTCTGTTCTATTATACCGCAACCGATGTTTTCTATCGGTATATGAAAATGTTGCAATAATCCATAATACGCCATAATCTTGCCATTTGATGGAAAGTTAATTCTAACATGTTGTACCGTTCCCAGGAAATAAAATACACTTTCAAGTGGAAGCGTTTATTCCAACTCTCATAAGTTCAGTTGTATAAAATGTAGTGTATGACGTGCGCACGACTGTTCGTTACGTTTGTTGAAATGGAATTATTGGATGAGACAGAGTGTGCTTATAAAATTTTCTTGAAAAAATATTCATACTGATCAAGAAATCATAACAATAAATTTAATTAAAGTTCTTTCTATATATAGTTATATATATAGTTATATATATAATACAATCTTTAGTAAGAATCTCCGGGATGAAAGATGATTTGGATCAGAAGGAATTAAGAGGATTATATGGCAATAATAGCAAAGCAAAGATTACTTTGGACGATGATTCATATCGCATAAGTTAAAAAAAGCTAAGTTATTAAAAACCAGGTGTTCATGGAGGTCACGTGGGGATCACCAGGTGCACACATATACCAACAAACGAATTTGTGCCAATAATATCTGCAGGAAATATATCTGGAGATCTATTCTGTGCAAGGAATTCGATCTATCAACATTTATTGTGTTTGTTTACGGACTGGAGTAAAAAGTGAATTGAAGAAAGAACTGAAACACACATAAATTTCTATTATTATAGAGAGTGCAATGCCAGTGTGGCAGTTCATTAATGTGAAAGAATCTAAGTGATATCTTTTGTTCAACTTTACACGATTTTCTGAATTTTCAAAATCTGCTGTTTTGAATTTTTCTCGTAACGTGGTGCACATTCAAAGAAAATGTCATCGGAAAGAACTGAACTTCCTTCCTTTTCGAATTGACCAATTTGATATTACATGCTGTATTAGTACATTTCTCCTGCCATTAATAATAATTAGCAAAACGAACAATCACGAGATGATAATAATTACACGTAAGTAATATGCTATAATTGATATTTATATTTATCGTTTTCTACATATCTTCGTGTATTACATTATTGTATCTTTCTTTTATAATCATCATATATTTTTTTATAAAAATAATGATCTTTTTGTACCAATTATACAGGTTTGTAAATGTAGAGAACAAAGCAAAATGAAATTCAGTTAAGGTGTTAAAGTTTAAACATTTCTCTCTGTGCATTATTGTGTTATCGTATACGTCAAACAATAGGATATAACAACATGGAATTTCAAGAAAAATCTGCTTTTGCACAAGAAAATCCTGGTTATGATGCCATCCCTTTAATTATTATTGACAAAACGGGAAGGAAGTGTTCCAAAGGTCTGTGTAGAGTATTATTCAACTCAATTTTACTTTTCTTCGTAAAAGTATAATAAATGAATAAATGTAAAATTTTAAAAGTTAGTATATGTAATATATCTATATAACTTCTTGATTCAGAAAAGATGACAATTAAAAAATATAAAAGCAGATGACATTTGTTACAGACCGTTTTATAAATATAAATAACACAGCGCGATATTAAAAAGTACTTCATAAATACACTTAATATATAAAATCTACATATAAGATATAAATGCCTATATACAGAAATAAAGCAGCTTCAAGATATTAAAAATATTAAAATGGATTAAATATTACGTTGTTTATTATTTCAGACAAGACAGAGAATGTAAAATATTACGTTTCTAATCCATTTTGGATGAAATTCCGTTTATTATTATTTTGGATATTGTGGGTTGTATTAATAATGGCGATGATAATCTCTCTTTTCACATACTTTTGCTTTACACCTCGAATGTGTCACAATTCAAATACGCATAAAAATATACACGAAAAAGTAAGTATATATATCTAAAATATTAAAATTTATAATATAGATTCTCTTATTATAACAAATATAATTTTGTAGAATTAATAATTCTATCATGCAATTAGTAATCAATATTTATTAAAGAACAAATTTTTCGGAATTTAATAACTTTGATTAATAAGAATTTAATTAATTTGTTTTGTATTTAATAAAATTCTATCAATTCAGAAGATTTTCTTCAATATTTTTGAATACATTTATTTTTACATAATACATTTTCAATTTTGTTAAATTTATTAATATATTTAATATATATTTTGTATGTTCCAGTAAATACATCGTGTCATAAGATGCAAAGGAAAAGCAATTACGCATGATAATAATTTAGATTATATTTATATTCAGGCCACAGTAACAATATTGACATTAAAATTATTAACAATATGGCAAGTAAGGAATATAATACACTTAGCTAATAGAAAATTATTTTAAAAAAATTGAATTGTACATTTCTATTATACACATATATATTATTAAAGCGCAATTTTTTTAAAATAAAAGATTATAACTTTATACATTTTATATGTTAAATACTTTAATTTCAAAAATGTAACAATTAAAAAATTCAAAATAGCAATGAAAAAAGTATATAAATTATATTTTGTTGTTCTCTTTTAAAAAATATTAAATCTAGCAACTTTATTGTAACATTTTTATAAATAACAAAATTGAATATCACTTACTTTCACACATCTTACTCTTAAAATTAATTAATTTAATTTAAATATAAAAAAATACAAACACATTTTATTTTATATTACATTGTTCAGATAATAAAATTTATATCAATACACATTCCCACGTATGTACCTACCCCCCCC